AGATGCTGTCAAGTTATGTTATATATATATATATATATTGAGTCACGAAATTACTTTCCAATTATATAGTGAGTCGCGATTTACAAGGAATCGAATAATCGGGTGACAATGAGAGTTCGGGGCTCATTTGTATAATAAAAACGTATAGTTAAATATATTTGAAAATATCGCGAGAGCTTATTTTATCATTAAAATTTCGCTTGGAAAAAATAAGATTCCATGTACGCCAAACGAACTTTCTATTTTAAACTTTCGGCATGCATATTTTGGCGCTTCTCCCCGGCTGCATGGTGGAATCTGCGGCACACACATGCACAGAACTACATACACGCACAATGCTATTTAAAAGTCTCATGGAATCTACACAACATCCACTTTGAAACGATTGAGATCCGATTTTGAAAACTTAAAAGTTTGAGAACCTGGTTTGTTGTATTATATTAGTACTCAGCTCTTTCTTTTCAGACTTTGAATTGGCAAACCGATTTATCCTTCGCTTGACCGTGATAAATGACGGCAAGAGAAACGACGCGTTGATTAGAGAGAGAGAGAGAGAGAGAGAGAGAGAGAGAGAGAAAAAAGATGAGCAGACTCGTAACTTAGGAAGCGAATACGGTTCTCTCCCCTTTTTACACAATTCCAAATATTTTTTTTTCAGTTCTTCGCTAAATTCGCACATTATTCTGTATATTTTCAGTATATAGATTTAATTACACAAATATCTTTTTCGTTATTGTAATGTACTATTGTAGATATTTCCACTGATCTTAAAAAATAAAAATGTCATAATATCTATTTCAAATAATTAACTATTAAAAATAAGATATATAAAGACTTCTAGTGTGAATTTTAGAAACAGAATAAAATAGTAAATGAATGTTGCATATTGTAATAACAATAAGACAAATAGAAAACCGTAAAAATTACAAAGAGCATAATAATCAAGCTTAGATAAAAATTGGTAAAAAAGAAAAAAAAATAATGAGATGAAATTATATTTTATAATTAATTTTCAGTTAATTTTTAATATAATTCTAACTTAAAATTTATTTTCACAGATATACGATACTAAAAATTCAAAAAGAGCGATAACTGCGGTAAATTATGTATGGCTATGCTCGCAATTTACTACGTTTCCGGTACCAGTTTTCCCTTTTTAATATAATTCTAACTTAAAATTTATTTTCACAGATATACGATACTAAAAATTCAAAAAGAGCGATAACTGCGGTTAATTATGTATGGCTATGGACTATGCTCGCAATTTACAACGTTTCCGGTACCAGTTTTCCCAGAGTCCTAATCTACTAAAAAAAAAAAAAAAAAAAAAAA